AGCTCAGGTTAGCTTAAGTTAGGTCAAGTTAGTCTAGGTTAGGTCAATTTAGTTTAGGTTAGGTCAGGTTTGTTTAGGTTAGGTCAAGTTAGTTTAGGTTAGGTCAGGTTAGTTTAGGTGAGGTTAGGGGTCCAGGATGGTGTCCTTGGATTAGTTCACTGTATGTGAATGGGTGGCCTTGGGAAGGTTTGGCCACACGTAGGAGCACCAATGGGTACAGGTGAAGTTACTGTATGTCTCATATTCGTGACGTCCTTCACTAGAAAGCCTTGTTCATGGTTTAAAACAAGCCAAGGAGAATGGAACACAGTGGACAGCTATGTTCATGGTATTAAACTAGCCAAGTATTAATCAAGAGAGTGTAACACACTTCAAAGCTATTTCATGGTATAAAACAAGCCAAGGATCAGCCGGGAGGGCGAAACAAAGTGAGGCAACAGCAACAATTTTAGCAGAATGGAGGTAAGCGACAGCAGCTTACAAGAGTCACTGATCACCTCTGCTCACTTTACCAGATCTTTCTCAACGGGAAGATCCTCCCTGCCTCCTTCGGTATACCCACGGGCGGCTCCAGAAATTTATGTAGGAAGGGCTAGGGGTGGCAGGGGGCTAGAGGGGGGTTAAGGGACTTGTCTTTACGCATCATTATTACTATTATTTATTTGTAGGGGGAGGCTGATGACCCTTCCCCTTTGTTATCCCAATCCGGGCGCTGCTACTGCACATACTCCCCACTACATGACTCCCAAATTTCATATTGCTATACTCTACTCTCTTCTAATTATCACCTAGTATTTAAATGTTCACAATTTCTTCAATAAAATTGACCCACTGGAACCTACACGGCTGAAGATCATTCCAAAAACTGATCTAATTAAGATACACCAGCTATTTAGGTTTCAAGCCAGTAAGAAGATACATTCTGCAGTTGTTGCAATAAAAACAATTTATTTAACAAAAATTACAAATTAAAGCTTACACAACCCGAAATAAAGGCGAACTTTTCTCCTGTTAATAGTTAATAATCTGTATCCACCGCTTTCACGTTCATTAATTATGTTAAAAAATGTGAAGATTTGCATATAGAGAGCCGAAATGGCCTGGTTACCATTCTCTTTATGAAATGCATCGGAAATTTTAGATTAAAGTCGTTCAAGAGAGACATAAGTTACGTGTGGGGAAA